TAAGTATAATCAGGTATAAACATTACTTAAAGTATAATCAGGAAAATTGTTTTAAAGGTTTAAAAGTGAACTGGGACTATTATACTATTATTTATTATGTCATTAGATTATTATTACTATAACGTTAATGCACATCAGCAACTCACCAGGAACCACAACAATCTCAGACACATTGGTCCACGCATTTCAACTCTCCTCGACGCCCTCAACGTCCAAGTCGCGCCGCGCACTGGCTCACATTGAAAATGAATGACTTCCGGCCACTTTGACGCTCTCGACGGCGGCGGTGTGAACGCACAGTTACGCAAACGTTTACCACAAAGTATATTTTGGTCATCCCATTAAAAATAACATTTCCACAAACTGGATCATTTTAGAGCTTTAAAGTGCTGGAAATAGGTGTGTGAAATGCTTGAAAGTCATTAAAAAGTGCTTAAATTTCTCTCTCAAAAGGTTGTACAAACCCTGAAATGAATGATGTAATGCATTCGACTATTTCTACCACAACACCATGGTTACAGTTAGCGTTACCGCTTCTGGTTTCCTGACGTATGTCAGCGCTGTTGATAACAATTCTGTGCAGAATTCAAACGCTTCTCACTGGATCTCGCAACACTGTTGCATCTGTGCAGTAACAGAGTCGCGAAATCAACTTTGGTTCCCGAGTAAGCTGTTCTGAGCTCGGACAAGTTTGTTTGTGTCGCGGTCCGAGCTGATGAACGGTCCGCGCTGCGCAGTTGAAACGTAGCGCGGTTTAGTTTAACTTTCGTTTCGTTTGCCGTTTGATGTTTCTCAAATGCAACAGAAATGGCAGTGCTTATGAGTTGGACAACGCGGTAGTCACGCCAGTGCGACCGCTCACAAAAATTAGTCGCACCAGCAGAAAAAAATGGTCGCAGTCTGGAGGCCTGGAGGGGGGTGACTTTTTTTATAACTCATCCGTTTAAATTATATTAAGCCTTAAAGTTCGGCATAATTAAGGGCGTGGCCACTTGAGTGACAGGTGGATTGCCGCTGCTGACACTGCCGTCGAGCTAGGTGGGCGTGGCTTCAGCAACCAGCTCCCGCCTTTTTGCCCATTTTTGATTATCCGGGAGTGACGCGCGGTGACGCGCTGCCAAGATGGGGATGGCCCGCTCCGCCCACTTTGAGCTTCAAAAATGCTCTTCGGAAAACTACAGGTGACGTCACGGACACTACTACGTCCATGTTTTTATACTGTCTATAGTTCAAATCCAGAATTTCAAGCCTAATCACATTACACCATTACAGTTTTCTTATCAAATGCACCACAAGAGAACCATTCAGAGTTTAAATGGCATTTGGTACAACATTACAGGATTGTACCAAAAAGTTCATCAGGACAGCAAAACATTTAACAGGTTAAACACAGATGATGCTGACATACCGGTCCCTGAGTCTGGATCTCTCACCATCTTCTTCCTCATCTTCATCATCTTCCTGTTCTTCATCATCAGTATCTTTATCAGACTCCTCAAGGCAGCAGCTGCGACGTTTCCCGGGGGTCTCCCCATCGGATTTCTTCTTTTGCTCCTCTTCGCTGTTCTCTCCTCCACCTTGCGTCTCCTCCTTTTTCTTCTCCTCCTTTGGTTTCTCCTGCTTCACAGGTTCTTTCGCCTCTACTTTCACAGGGGTCACCGTACACCGCCGCCGGCCCTGAGGAGTCACATACATACAAAGATATTTTAGCTAGTTTCTAACAAGAACATTGAAGGAAGAATATTATATTATAATATATATATATATATATATATATATAAGTACTTTTTTTAAAAGTATGCTAAAGTGCACTTCTTTTTCACAAGGGGACGTGTGCCATTATTTTCTACATGTTATCTTAAGGGTTTTTCCCATTATTTTAATTTTAGTTTTAGTATGACATTATAATACCATTCATATTTTTACTTTTTTTATAATTTAAAGAAGAAACCAATCCGATGTATATTTGACATTTGAGGCTTAATACTATAGAAAAGCACTAAAGGTTAGAGTGTTTTCAGTTTGTTTATTTTCATATAAAAATATGGCATGCAGTTGCATCAAACAATGGTATAAACATCATTCAATGTAAATTCTGATAATCGTAATTAATAATCGCAATAACAATTTCAAGGGAATAATCGACAATTATGATTTTTGTCATAATCGTGCAGCCCTACTTGAAACCTCAACCTAGGTGGTACTGAAAAAAATACCAGGTACCAGGTACTTTACCCAGTGGAACCCCCCCCAAAAGTGACCCGTACCAAGCCGTACCGTGCCGTACCATGCAGTGGAAAAGCGCCATTAGACTGCAGGTCCTTTAAGACCAACTGTACGGTTCCAATATACTGAAACGCATCCGGTTTTCACCCAACTGTTTATGTTTATTTAACACAACTGACTGTTTACGTGAATACTCCACACAATGGGCATTTTGACATAATTGTGTGCGTATTTGACCGATGCAACGCAACGCGTAAAAAGACAGTATAAGTCATTATAATCCACAATTCTGTCCCCACTGGATGCAACGAATGTCTCGTTTATAATGGGTTTTCATGTTTTTGAATCATTGCTCCGGCCTGACGGCATCATCACAATATTTCAGACCGATTAGTTTTGTAAAAATCGACGCGTTTCAGAAAGGCGGGGCATAGAGGAGAAACAATAATGTACAGTATGTGGAAAATAATGTGTTTTTTTAATCTTAAACCGCATAAACACATTTCATTACACCAAATACACAAAATAATGTTCTTTTTAGCAGCATCATATGACCCCTTTAAGGAACAAGCAGGTTTCAAAACACATGAGTGAGTTTTCATTTTTAGGTGAACTGTTCCTTTAAATGCAGTATGTTTTCTGGTTTAAAAACCCAAAATAACAGACATGCCCTTAAAATCAATTTAAAGTCAATGAGGTGCATCAGACAGCCAAGAGAAGTGCATCATCACATGACATCTGATCATGAAAGCGAAACCATTCTCTACTATCATCATGTGCATTTCCTCCAAATCATTCAAGGACAAAAAAACACTTGTAATGTATGTGTTTTTGCTCTGCAGCTGGCAGAGCAGCTGAGAGCAGCCCAACGGAAAAACAGACAGACACTCACCCTGGGCGAGCAGATATCTTTGAGTCCCTTTTCACTCTCAGCATCTGACTCATCAGCGTCTGCCGCAGGTTTTTCCTCGCTAGTTCCAGGCTCAACTGTAACCTGCTGCATCATCTCATCTGGATCTTCACTCTCTTTTTCCGAAGTCTTAACGCACTGCACTTCCGGCTGGGGGTCTGGCCGTGGCTCGTTGTGGTGCACTGTCCTGAACTGAATCTGAGCAGAGCGGCAGTACTCCTCAAATCCGTACAGGTACCTGAGGTTCAAGTCAAAGGATAAGCAATGTTATATTTTATCACTAACAATATTATCAATGGGAGTTAATTTCAACAAAGTGAAAATATAGGCTTCTCCAAATATATATATTTTTTTTTTTTACTCAAGCAGAGGTTAATCAGACAGCCAAGAGAATTTTAACATCACATGACATCAGTCAAACTAGCGAAACCATTCTCTGGTATCATCATATTAACCCCATTCTCGTTTAACAAGGCTTTGGTTTTCAGAAGAGCTGGGTTCATTTTTTATTTAACCATTACATGAGTTAAGATTTAAGATTTAATATTCCTTTAACAGTGCAGCAAAAGTCACCTTCAAAGTGGAAAACTGTCTCCATTTGCCAACAACACAAAAAGAACACTGGCTGCTGTACAGCAGGAATTGCGAGAGCATGTACTTACTTTCTGTAGGCAGTTTTCACATTGTACGAGGCAGCCGAGTTCAGAACTGGGATGCCAAGATCCATGTAGATCTGTTTCCAAATAGAGCCACTTTCAATCTAAAAAACAAAATAAACCATCTCATTACACAAGTCTTTTTGATGACTAAAAGTGCTTATTCTTGCTGCACAGAGCTGGTAGTGTCATGCACATCTGTCTACCGCACCCTGGGATCAGATAGCTTAGAGAAACATGACATCACTCGAACAAGCACAACCGTTTTCCCAATTATCACCTCTCCAAACTTCCAAATATAAATTACCCTCAATAACATTCACAGAACATGCATTTGATAAACAAGCCATTTTTTGTTAACTCAGTCCAGCTCTGTGAACTTCATAAATTCAATCAGCGGCCACTTTCGCTTCATATTTTTGGCAAGGTCTCACTTCCCACTTGCCGAATTCAATAAACAGATGGTGGGAACACTAAGAACACTCACATTGTCACAGCCTCCGTGAACATACACCAGTCGGAAGAGCTTGAAGAGGTTGAGATCCTTGTAGCCAAGCACTGGAGGTTTGTTAATCGGTGTCCCTGGAAGGAAAGCAAAGGTACAGAGAAGCGTTAAACTGAAAATGTGCCCTGCAGAAGTGGTCATGAGATTAGTCTATGGAAAAAATAAAAAATAATCATTGAACTTTTGAGGCCCCACACACACACACAAAGACTATAAAAGACATCCACCATGATATACGCCATGTAACCGCCCCCATGAAAATTGTTAATCCTCATTAAATTTTTTCCCATAGTGATTATAACTCAACTGGTGGTGTGCAGGCATTACCTCTGTCCTCCATGAACTTGTAAAGCTGCTGTAGAAAGTGGTCTCTTTCTTCTGGATCTGGCTCATCATCAGGCTGTTTAAGAGAAAGAAAGTACAACATATGAATTTGAAGTTCAGCAAGTGTGGAATTATCTATTATAGATAATAATATCTATAATATTGGACGTGACTGAAATCGAGTGAGTCAGATTAGTTAATTAACCACTCTTACTGATTCACAAGTGTTTTTGATTTATCAAAGAACCAGCTCATAAAAGTCATTATTTTCTGAATGGGATTACACTGATCATACTATGTTTGCAGTTGCATACAAGCATACATAAAACAGCAGTGATGGAAACAATGACATTTTAAAGCATTTTAGTACAGGCATTTTACAGAAAGAATACAATCAAGAGCTATAATTTGTCAAGCGACCATATTAAATATAAAGATAACAAATTGAATATTACATTCACAACACAGCAAACATCAGGATTTACACAGCAATATGTTTAAACTATCGAATGCACTAATTTTCAAACCAGTCAAATTACACAGGGCTTCCTTAAGACATTAGTTGGCAACCCACCAACTAGTCGATTTAAAAAATAAAATAAAAAAAAAGTGTAGTTTCACACATCCAAAGTTTAAACAGAATCCTAGTGCTGGCTTTCTCAAGACAAAATTCATTAATAAGAAAAGCAACCCATCATTTCCAACAAATTTTTCCACTTATCTTTTCACATGCTGGCCTTATAATTGTGCAACATGCCCAACCTTCTCCAGCTAGGAGAGAAGACTCTTTGAGATGAGCTCAGCCCCACCCACCATCAGAACTGGCAAACCACCACTGGGCCAATCCCACAGCCTTTTCACAACCAAAGGAACAAGCAGTTGCCATGGGAACGTGTCGGAAAACCAAGCAAATGGCCATTTGTCCAAACTCGGGGAGCAGGAAGAATGAGACATTGTTGTCCAGAGCCTGGGGGCTTTCCCACATGCTGAGACCATTCAGTGGACTTAATCAAGGTGTACGAGAGCATAAGATGTAAAGGGCCGCGGGAATGTCTTCACAAATCAACATAAATGCCAACACTGGGATTCTCTCAATCGATACTGGTCATAAATGGCCTCATATTGCTTCAGTGCGCAGCTCTGGCAACCCATTTAATCAGAGCAATCACTACAAAACTACATGCCAATCACTGAACCCAAGAAACAAGGGTCCAAGCAAGAGCATAAACGGAAACACCGAGTCAAAAAGGAGGAAAAAATAACCAGTTCACAAGTTCACACCACTGAATACATCAGCAGCACACCAAAATATTTTCATCATTTGAGAAATAATTTTAACTTTTGAAAGAAAACTAATTTCAAGATAAAGAAATGGAAATGACAAAGTAATACTGGAGTCTTACTTCCTCTGGTTCTGGCTCCTTCTCCTTCTCCTCGCCTTCACCATCCTTACTATGGTCTTCTTCATCACTGCTAGAGGATTCAAGAATCTCACTCAAGTTTACTTTCCAGTTGTCAGGGACCTGTCTGGCCTGTAGAAAGTAATGTGCTGCTTCAAACCCTGGCAAAAAAGAACAAGAAAGAGAGCATAAGAAACCATACTCTGACCTGGAAACATCCAAGTCAATAAAGGGTCAGCTGATCTTGGGTCTCGAACCTTTCCTGTTTGAGCACTCAGGTTTGGAGAGGGTGCCAATGTTTACTTCCTGAACATCTTTGCGTGCCACTGTGTGACTGCAGAACACAAACAGTGACAAATCAGAGATAGAACAAAAATATGAAATATTTCCATTTCTTCTTATTAAACAAAAAATTCATATCACTTTATAAGCAAAATATCAACATTAAAAATCCTGTAAAATGGCTTAATAAGCAAAGCTAACAGACATGGAATAAAGGTAAACATCATTTTGACCTCATGGGGTCTTAAATGTCAAAGATACTTTTCAATGTTACTCACAATTTGGAATCTGCAAATGATCGTACTAAACATTGGTCCTTTTTGACAGTTAGGTCATCATTGCAGCTTGGAGATATCACCTTCAAAGAGGAAGACAATATTAAAACTCTTTCAAAACAAAAACAAACAAAAAAAACAGTAAAAACATCAAGTCTTTACCAATATAGGAGTACCATAATCAATTAATTCATTATTAGAACTGAAAGGCTTGAGTCTTCATTGACACACATTCAATTTGAAAGATCTATTCTGTTTGCAAAATCTTTTTCAATTCAAAAGTTCAATTCAATCCATAACCTTTGCAACTACCAAAGCAAAAAAATGCATCAAGTACTATCCAACAGCAACAATACAACATCTCCTGAGTGGCTCTGTCTATATTCTTTAAAAATATTCTCATGTCATCTCATGTTCCAAATTAGTACGTGCAGTTTTTTGTGGAACATTTTTTACAGAGCCCAATCTTTTCCATACAACAGTTTCAGACACTTTAACATCAGTGTAATATCAGTGAACAACTATAAGTCTGTTCCCCAAACAAAGTAATCGCATGACTTCAGAGGACTGCTCTCACAGCCATAGAGACTATGTTTATGCTGATTTGATGGTTCTACAACCTGTCACTAAGAACTGTTGTTGAATGGAAAAGCTGTGTGAAGATTTAGCAAAATATTCTCTTTTTGAGTTCCAAGGACAAAAAGCATACAGGCTTGAACAGCATGAGGGTGAGTAAATAATGACCATTTTCAGAAATCTAGTTACTCCATGCATAACAGTCTCTCTGGCTTGTTTTAAAATCCTATACTTAAGATGTTGTAATTGAATCAAGGACTCACCAGGACATAGTGCCAGGAATCACTATCTGAGCCACTCTGAATGGAGGCAACTTTCCCCAAAAGATCATCATTAAGCCTCCTCCTGTCATCGTCATCATCTTCACTCGATGAAGACTCCTTTTCATCTTCTGCACTGCATTGCATCAAACAGAGCACTAACATTTGAAACATGCTCCCTTTTCACATTAAAACACGGATCAGAAAAGCTAAACTGCATTTTTACATTTAGGAAAATGAATCATGGAAACTGAACAATAATGTTGCCAAAATAGTGCTTGTTCCAGCTCAGGATCCAACTGGGAATCAGGATATTGTGCTTTCTTTAATTCAAAGCATGTTATTTGTTATTTATAAGGACCTAAGTGTAACAGTTTGAGAGCACAACAACAAAACTGAAGCGTACTATAACAAGCTCAGTATGAATTATGCTATTGCACTTATACATCAGAGGTCATTCACATATAGAAATCTTAAGGGTACATTAGCAATGGCCTGTTTAAATATAATGGACAAAGGGCTCCAGATTGCGACCATTTTTCCTGCCTGTGCGACTAAATTTTGTGAGTGGTCGCAGTGGCGAGACCACCGTGTTGTTCAACTCATAAGCTCTGCCATTTCTGTTGCATATGAGAAACATCAAACGGCAAACGAAACCGAAAGCATAATGAAACCGCACTACTCATTTGAACCGTGCAGCGCTTCGAGAGTAGAGACTGGTTTATACTCGCCATGTATGCAGGAGCGCGAAGCTGCGCGCAGCTAAAAATGACGCGAATATTGAGAAAACGATGGATGGTTTTCAAGCTAAAGAAGCTAAAGACCGCTTCTTAAACCAAAGGTGAACATGTTGGTATTCTTGTG